TTAATATTTACTATAGTAAGAAAGACTGAAGTTTCTATTAAATGTAAATTACATGAAGGTGCTAAAAATCAATTGACATTTATTAGATTAACATTCCTTGTCTAATTCAATAATCAAGGATAAGTTATGTATATGTCCATAAATTCGCAACATGTCTAACAGTTCCATAAAATTAAACTTAACTGATTCGAGGCAAACGAGTGAAAAGTAAACAAAAAAAAACAATCTTACGGGTTTATCAGACCTCATCATATTCATTCATTCATTCATCACATCACGAAATTTCTATTTCCTGTCTAATTAGTAATTATAGAGAAATAGTACTGGTATTCCATTTCACTTCGATTTCTAAGAGGTATTCTAGCCTTCTATTTTTATTTACCTATTGACCGTGAAATCAGATTAAAGGTGCTTCCATGAATAAATATTAAAAAAATGAATTAGACGCTTCACTTTTTACATTAAATCATTTTTTTTATTTCGGTGAAATTTGGAACACTTGACACAATGAGACCTTGGTCAGAGTGAACAGAGGTATTTTTCAGAGAAAGAAAATTGCTTTTACAGCGACCTTCTATGAATACAATTCTGAAGACGTTGTAGATGTGAATTATTATAAATAAATAATTATGAGACAAAATGACAAGCATACAACACCTATTTCAAAGGCACAGCACAATCGCATGACGAAGTTAGGGCGCACTCAGCTTAGCGGCCTCGGCTCCCCACGACGGATAGCCTAGTTTATTGTTACTCCGTAGCATAAAACATGTTCTTCCTTGCTCTGGACACCAGGGTCCACTGCAGTAAGCAGATTTTACTTCTCCATATGTAACCGGCACCGGATTCTCCAAGGCATAAAGTGTCTGTCCAACATCAAGCAGCAGACGCTGCAGGTGCGTGGCTGGCCAGCACGTGCTGAGTCCTCGGACACACAATCCACTTCAGGTCCAAGCCTTCTCTCCCTCCACTCTCCGACACTCTCGCATTTCGCTCCGCCTCTGCCCCGCTCTGCCTGGCCCGCACCACTTCCAACCATCCACGCACATCTCAGCCCCTCCACACTTCGAACCCGTCCGCTCCGCTCCGCTCCACTCCACTCGTCCCCGCCCCGTTTCACATACCCCCATTCGCGGTCACCCCTCGCTGCTGCCCGCCTTGCCCCGCCCCGCTCCCG